TTTTTTTCACATATCATGGCTTAATGTTAACTGAACCAGTTACGTTATATCTTCTTACAATATTTCTCACACTGTACCGCGATAAGTCTAACAAAGTTGCAATTTCTGAGTTTGATTCCCCAGAATTAAAAAATTTAATTAACAGTAACCGAATTTTCTCACTAATAACCTTTCCTCTACCCATTTTGAAAACCTTAACTACCCAAAACTATTTTAAACGTATTCTGACAGCTGTCATTAATAAAAACAATTGTCATGGCTTTTATTTTTCACAGCCACCTATACGTTATAGACTTATTTTGCATTGAAATGAAAATAGGTTGATATGCTGTAATTGTAACATGTGTTATTTTTATGTTGCAAATTTGATTAGGGAGTGATAAAGTTGGTGTTTTCTACTATATCTTATCAAAATATTCATTGTTAATATTTTAAACCTGTAACACCCTGCTATATTTTTATTATTTGTGTTTGATAAGAAAAAAGATTTCAGTAGTTGGGCCAACTGAAGTTGGAAGGGGCTCGTACATTGTCTACATTGATCAGTATGAAGATTTATACAATAATGTATTTTGCATGGTGTATACAATGCATCCACCACTGCTCCCAATTTTTTCCTATTAACCAGTATACAGTGGGGTTGAAGTCGGGATGCCGGCGGGTTGTTTTTGGTGAAAACAGTACCTAAGGGCCATATCGTCAATCGTTCCTTCAATTGTAGGACGCCCTTATGGGCTCCTTGTTTTCCTTTTGACTCGTAGGAAATTTCAAGCTGAGAAAACAGATAATAAAAATCAAAAGCATGAACAATTTGATGCAAATATATATTTTATTAACAGACCGCCTTTCTGAACGACAGGAAGAACTGTGAAAGTCAAGGAGGTTACAGGTATAAAGGCATCCTACAACTGTAGGAATGACTGACGATACGTCCTAAAGACTTATTTGTTGTCCTTTGACGATTTTTGAAAATCGCCTCGTGTCCCGTACCCGGGATGGATAAAAATTTTGAGATAACCCTTCATGCACAAAAATTAAGTATTGAGTTCCGTAATCTACAATAACTGTTCAAAATACCTGGTTACTTTCAGTTAGAGCGCAAACCCTTCATTAGTGACCAGCTCTTTCATTCTTATTTAGTTAGATCCAAAAACAGTATGATAAGTTTGCTATAATAATATACGGGGACCATTGGGTAGGCCGAAAAGGACTTTGCTTATGGCATCCTCGATCTCCGGGCTCAAACCCACCAGTTAGTTGGTTTACATTTATTTAGAGAAAAATGTGAAAGATCCAAGATGTTGCATTGTTAGATACTTTTTCTGCTCTTTCTGCATTCTTAGAGGCATTAGCTTTACTACTCGCGTGGGGTTGGGACATATGGACAGTGCACATTATATCCTTCGGCAATAAAGGTCCTGTTTTTAAACTAAGCATATAATGTACTATTTCGCTGTTGGATTTGCATTATAATTTGTGGTCCGTTTTACCTTCCACACAGATATTGTTTTATTTTTAATTTTACATGTCTGTCTGCATGTATCTGTGTCTGTATGTTGGTCGGTCTGTCTGCTAATCCTTGGTCCCTTAATCATTTGAAAGTGCTCGTATTTTTATGAAACTTTGACACAAGGTTACTGCTATGTCAAGTACCAAAGAGCTTTGTAGGTTTTGAAAATCGATCCAGTGGCGGGCAAAAAAATATAAAAATAAATAATAAATAAAATTGTTAAAATTGCAGGGTACGTATTAGACACATTTCACGAAAATTTCCATCTGTACTTGCCTTTACGACCTAAAACGAACTATTTATATTACCCGCATCAAGCGCAACGAAGATAGAATTTAAACTTGTCGCGAACCGGCTGCTGCAGCTGGCCAGGTTGTAAGGGACGTATAGCTGTCGGCCTGAGTCAGACAAATGTGTTAGGGGTCGTTCAAGTATTACGTAAGCATATTTATTACAATTATTTACCCCCCCCCCCCATCCCCCCTGGCAGCAAAAGCAAGCAAAGCTCTTACCCCCTCCCCTCATGCTTACGTAAACATTTGTCAATGAATATATTGTTTTTTTGGTATTATAATTATAACGTTATAATTATAATTTGAAAAATAAGAAAATAGATTTAGGATAGAGATTATATTTTACTGATACGGTATTCAACATAGAGTAAAGGACAAAAATATTATATCTTACTAACATAACAAACTTATTTTAAATCTTTGGTACATATATTAAATTCAAATTCAGTCTTCAGTCCATGAAACCCGAATCCATATTCTAAGTTTTCGATGACATTGGATTGCTTCGATTGCTGCTCAGTGTTGTGAGTTTGCTCGCTTTCATCGGATTTTGGCATGTCTACGTCATTCTCATCGAGCCATTCAACATCATGGTGCTCTAAATTTTGAATAAGGCACATCAGTTCATTAGCACGACGAGCAGCGACTCTTACAGGTCTAACTTTCCTATCAGTGTGCGTGTTTACTTTTTCATGGATATTTTCGATGTGACGATTTAGTGACTTGACGGAAGCATGATCCACACGTTTTGCATGTTCGACTTGATAGCCTCAATTTTACCGTCGGACGAAAATAATCGTAGGGCATTTGCAGGAAATCTGTGAGTGAAGCACTTAAGCGTAGAGCTAAATTGACTGTAAGATTAATAAATTGCCCTCCTTCATCCAAAACCAAGTCATCAACTGTTTGTTTTACTTGTACAGGTGGTGGAAGAAACCTATTGTCTAGTAATCTACATAGGCCACTTCTTGGACGACAGCATTCTGTATTTATACATTTTACAATTTGAAGCAAGTATTGGCTCTCATGCAAATGTTCTGAATACCATTTAATGTCTGGAAAATCAGGAAGATCCTGTTCACCTGCCCCAACATATTTTGCATTAACATTATAGCCATCAATTTCCATTGAACTCCATACTTCAGCTAATACATTTCCTGCAAATTCAAAATTAGATCTTTTTAAATGTTCATCAATTGTAACGCCACGTTCATCCAAATGAGACCCAAAATGGTCATGCGGCAATATTAAACCAGCCAGTTCCCGACTAAGAGGAGCCATTCTGCGCTCTACTCTGTTATACGCACTTCTTCCAGAAGCATTGGTAGCTAAAAACAATGCATCGAGATCATGTCGCTTAAAATGTTGTATAGCTAACCCTATGACTTTTTGATAACGTGGATTTTCATCTGGCCCTCCATCAACCGTCATGATTACCACTGGTTTTACTAAACCATGGTCAGTTTTAGCTAACGGTCGAAACTCTTCAAGTTCGACAAGCGTCTCGAAATCCTGAGCATGAGTATTAGCAGTAGATGAACTATGCTTTCCACTTCGAATAGCGATGTATGTTGGTCCAGAATATCCAACGGCTTGCGGTTGTCCTAGCATATTGGAAGTGATTTTGATACCAGCATAAACAGATGGGATTAATTTATGACGCTCAGCGATTATCAACTTCAGCACGGCTTGGAATAGTATCACTGGCAGAATACAAAACATTCAGATTTTTTTCGAGTAGAGCAATCTTATTTATCATAGCTTCCTGAGAAGGTTTTGCTCTCTGTTTATCCGTATTTTCATTAATTTCGCATTGCTGCTTTTATTTTATCTTCTTCCTCTTTTTTAATATTTGAAGCTGACTGTATAATTTGTGTTTTTTCTGCAGGTTTACAGGTTGCCTAAAAATAAAAACTTTCTATGGCTTCTCTTATTCTCTTATTAAGCTACATAAATACAAAGTATGGCAATATGTGTGGTAAATACAAAACCCTATGGCTTTAAATCTAATATGTTTAAACGAGCAATTCGTTCCAGTCACAAAATACAGGGTGTTTTCTGTATATATGTATAAAACTAACATCCTGTACTTTGTGACCAATTGTTGGAATCAATCATAAGAAATAAATCTATAATACAATGAATATTACCTCTATACTTTGAGATAGGCCATAATATTTTCTAATCAGTAAAGAGAAACTTTTTGGCGATTTCTGATATTTCTAGTAGTCACAGGTACCTAAAATGATTTCGTCACTCACCTTAGAAAAAAAATTTAGTAGATTGGATTTATTCTTAGTCGCCGCTTGCAATTCTTCTTCGATTCTCTTAGATACAATAATATCTAGTTCCTTGTCGGATTTTGCTTGTAATTTCGCCACACTTCGTTAACTAAATTTTGTACATTTTGTACTTTCATATTTTCGTACTTGTATGAGATTTTTTAAAACTTTCAAACATTTTTTGGTATAACTTGGATTTGTCTATGTGAAACGACACCTTATTTAAACATTAAACTTTGGCTAATGGAATCAATGGTAACACAAATGTTAACTTGCTTTACTATGCTTACAATACGTCTACTCGCTATAGTATCCAAACGAAACAATACACTGATAGAGGAAATTTAGACAAGTGAACACCGCGCGGTAATTCCTCTACTCGGTTCTAAAGCGAGTAGGGGAATTACCGCGCGCTGTTCACTAAAAGTATGCACCATTTGCGGGAATCCCCGAAAATGCGTTTCGTTTTCTAGCAAAGACAATGTGAGGGTTGCCATTCGTGTAAAAAGGTAAATAACTACCGATGACGTAATCATCATCTAGACTCTCCTACCCCCCATGTCATGCAAAATAAGCAAAGCAAAGACCCCCCCCCCGCCCCCCTTAGTGCTCACGTAATACTTTTAACTAACATATTTCGCTTGAAAAATTGTATTAATAAATATTGGTGAGTACTAGCTAACAATATTCGCAGCGCGTTGGATCAAGATTCGGTGTATAATTTACTGCGTTGCAGCGATATTACGGAATATTTCCCTAAGAGGGACATGGATGTGCTGAATATAATCTTTTAACGATAGCGTTGAGTGATAAGTACAGAGTCAACCTACTTGATGCAGTTTTTGTTTTCTTAGTAGGGGGAGAGACGTGTTACAAATATTCGACACTCCATTTATCCAGTAGTATAATTAGAACGTCTGATTCACCTAAAGTTAATAACGAGTGTCTTAAGGTACGCCAGTCAGAGTGGTGGTTACTTTCACTCTTAATAGTTTAGGCAGCCGGTCTCGTAGACAACACAGTCCGTTTCACCTGACTCCAGTGTTTACAAAATGAACAAGTTCTTTTTGTTGCTCGTGTTTTTTGTTCTACAAGCATCCATTTTATTGGACCTACCTAAGGGGGTGACTGCACAAGAACCGGCTTTCGAATTGCCTGTTGAACTCGTTGGATTTCCTGTGATTATTGTGGCTGTCAGGTTGTCCAACTTCGTTAAGAAATTGGCGTACTCCCTGAACCCTAGTAAGTATAATAACATACAAAATACTTTGTCCGTCAAAGTTACGTATTCTAGCTTTCTATACAAGTTTTACAATTTCTCAAGCAATTTCCATTCAGTATTTTGAATGTTTTTTTATTGCTTTGTACTCTTATTGATTCAACAAGGACGATGGACTAAATTTGAATTTTCGACATCATATTTTCTTTTAGATAGCTCTTAAAGGTTAGACGTGTGCTTTTCAGCCAAACTTTTGCAAAAAGATGAAATGACACCACCTTGTTTTTGGTACATGTATATCGTAAATACTCGTATATTACCCAACAACCTATCCATTTTTTCCAAATGTTTAGCCTCTCCATAATGTATCAATAAAAGAACAATATTCATGTACAACGTTGTCAGGGAAATTAAAGGATAGATTCGACACGCTTAAACAGTTCATTACATAAACATAGATACTAAAATCCTTCGTTTCCAAAAGAAACTTATTTTTGCAAAAACTACTTATGAACGATTTCTCTAGACATAAAGATCAAACCAGAATAAAAACGACAAACTCATGTCTACATGAAGATTTTTCATATGTTCACGTGCTAGGATTTCCTAACAACATATAAATATCGTCGGTCTCCGCACGTACAGGCGTAAACGGCAAAAAGGTCTTAAATCGAGTTACGCCGTAATTTCACATATTTTTTTGTAGTCTCTCACCTCACAAAGTGACGTAGCTGTATATCAGTTCGCTGCTCAGAAATAAAATTCTTAAAAAATTGCGTAAGTGATAAAATTTCGAAAACAATTTTCAGGTACCGTAATAGATTTACGCCTCTGCGTTAAAACTGGTTCTATATAATTTTAGTCTAACAAAAAAACAGCAACGTGCAGACTAAAAAATGATTATGTCATTTTCAATCTTACTTACTGCTGATTTTCGTTTTCTAGCTCTCCTGTAAAATTTGTAAGACGTCAGTTACGCCGGTACATGCGGAGACCGACGATATATATACACAGGGTGGCGCATTCAAAACGAAACAGACGCATTTACTGACAGCTCAATTTTTTTTGGAAAAACGCTTAGACCCTTCGATTTGGTTTTAGAGGGGGACATAAGCTTGACAAAAAATCACGTTAACACGTGCAGCCCCTTGGGAGGGTGTGACGCCAACCCTAAAATCTTAAATGGAAAGGGGGGTCGAGTGATACCTTATTTTAAAGGTCTTTCAATTCTCTTTATAATGATGTAAAATACACGAGCTTCAGTTCAGCAGTTTTGAAGATTTATCGATTTAAAGCTTAAAGTAGACTTTAATAGGTACATCAGATTAGTTTGTACTACTTTCAGAAGAAATTTAACTAAAAGAATTTACTTAATAAGTAGATGCTTTTCTTCACTACGCCCATGGTTTGTTTATCATTTTGTTGTTGAAAAAGTTATTTCTTGAAGAAAGATAAGGAAATATCTCGTACTTATTTTAAATAGGAATTTAGTGCATAGTTTGCGATTGATTTGACCAAACTTTGTTGCTAAAATAACTTGTAACGCTTTATTACATAAATTAACCATGGTATATTCCACAGCAGAAAGAGTTGAAATTAAAAAATATTTTTCGGAAATAATCAGTGCGCTAATAGAACAGCAGAAATATTTAATGAGCGACATGTGAACAGTAACGTGCATCGAAAATATGTTCTAGAACTTGTGGCTAAATTTCGGGAAACTGGGTCAGTTGCCAATAAAAAACGCAACATTGAAAATCCCATAAGAAACGAAGCAATAGAAGTGGGGCTTTTAGGGCAAGTTTATGTAGATCCTACGATAAGTACCCGCAAATTGTGTGTGGTGTTAGTCGACGTACTGTCCAACGGATTCTAAAGGCCCATAGTTTTCATCAGTATAAAATTCACCTGGTCAAATAACTTAATGAAGACGATTTTGATCGGCGATTACAATTTTGTGAAGATATGAGTGAACGAATTGTAAACTATGAACATTTTCTATTCAACACTTGCTTTTCCGACGAACGTTCCTTTTTCTTAAATGGCGTAGTAAATCGTCATAACTGCCGATATTGCTCTGATTCTAATCTCAGGACTTTGGAAATTTGACCGGTGAAATGTATTTGGAATTACTGGAAGACGCCATAGATCCTGCATTAACAGCCATAATTGAAAATCAGAATGATCGGCGGTACATTGCGAATAGGTTGATGTTCCAACAGGATGGTGCCCCACCACATTTCGCATTACGTCTTCGACAATATTTAGATTAGACATTTCCAGATCGATGGATTAGTGGAAGGGGTGCCATTGAATGGCCCTCAAGATCGCCAGATTCATCACCTTTGGATTTCTTTATGTGGGGTCATTTAAAAAGCAAAATCTATGCTACTCAGCCAACATCATTAGAAGACCTGCGACAAAGAATTGTGAATGAGTGCCTTCAAATTACTCTTCAAATATTGCAAAATGTGCGGCAACGTTTTGAGCAAAATCTTTATTATTGCATGGAGAGTCATGGTGGCCATTTACAACATTTACTTGCCTGACGGGTCAGTTCACTCTTCATTTTTAAATTACTTTGCTGTCAAATGTATTGATCTCCACTAATGATGATGTATTAGTTTTATTTAAGCTTTAAATCAACAAATCGTCAAAACTACTGAACTGAAGTACATTAATTTTATATCATTATAACGGGAATTGAAAGAACTAAAATAAGGTATCGCTCGACCCCCCTTTCCATTTAAGATTTTGGGGGTGGTGTCACCCCCTTCTAGGGGGCTGCACGTGCTAACATGATTTTTTGCCAAACTTGTGTCCCCCTCGAAAACAAAATCGACGGGTCTGAGCGTTTTTCCAAAAAAAAACTGAGCTGCCAGTAAATGCGTCTGTTTCGTTTTCGATGCGCCACCCTGTATATACAGGGTGACTTCGAAGTTGAGTCATTTATTTTAACAGTGAGTAGATCTGATCAAAAGAAATGTTTTTTTCCTTTACCATTTTTCTGGTAAAATTAAAGTAACAAAGTTATAAGCCCTTTGGAAGTTTGAGTACCGCCCTGCCTATTATATGCTCGTGTTTGGCGACACCGGATATAATCCGCTTGACCGGTTCATCGCATCGGAAACAAAAAAGCGAAAGAATTTGAAACGTTTATCACGATGTTTTTCGTCAGTCGATAACGCGTAAGTGAATAGTAGTGTGTTGCGTGGCTCAAACGAAATCAAAAATGGCACATGTTTACGAAAATGCTGAACTTGTGGACATGATTCTTATTTACGGGGGGGGGCAGTCTTTACAAAATGCTCCCGGATGCATCACGGATTTATGCGAATCGGTTTCCCAATCGAGTGCAACCAACCCCTCGTGCCTTTATTAATGTAGTGCAAAGGGCTCGTGAATCAGGTGACTTAAGACCTCACAGGTGAGGGCATGCTGCTCCAAGACCGCACGATCAAATACAGGTCCGCACTGAAATACTTGTCGGGAGGATACTTTATTAAACAAGGTAACATTTTTTTTTTATTTTTTTTTTAATTTTTACACACATATTTTGGTTTATCTTCCTTCTACAATCATTATCTGAAAATTAATGACTCAACTTCAATGTCACCCTGTATAACTTCAAAGTTAGGTAGGTCAACGTAAATCAAGAAAAAACTAAATTCATAATTTTCCCTATGTTTGATGATATCCTAGAAATTCCGTGTACCCGTCATGATACAATGACTCATAGCCATGACAATACGTCCATCAATTTATCGTTTTGGGTGGTATATCGAAAGACAGGTAAACATTCCAAGGGGTATTAAAGGGTGCGTGCTCTTACATAAAATGGTAATTATTACTTAAATTGTTCTCACGGTACAAGTGGCGCTACCAAGTCGTGGGAAGATATATTGTTTATTTGCCTAGGAACCGCAAATTTCTGAAAATACATTAAAATGCATCTGAAGATTATCCAATCTATTACCCTTTAATTGTTTGTCGATGCATTTTTGGTGTCATTATCTCAAGTATAAGGATGGAATCCATATCGACAAATTATCATAAAGGAAAATAAGAATTCCTTCATTTGTTTCCAAGCTTGAGTTAAGAATCTTCTGTGATCGCCAAGATGTCGAGTAAAGCATCATCAAGCTTTATGATTTAGGACTTTTGATCAGCGATGAACAGGATTTGATAGAAATTTTCAAGATAACTTTAATTCATCTTGTTCCAGCTTTATAGTTGGGGTATATTGTTTTTATTCTTGCTTCTTCGATTTCAAAGTTTCAACTCATCCAACATTTTGGGCATCATAAAGCAGAGAACTTTAGTTAAAATCCTCTCTCTCAGTTTTGGCTTTTTGGCAACTTTTACCAAACTTGTCAACTTTTTTCCACATAACTGTTTTTTTATGGTGGACTTCCACTAAATGGACAAAACAAAAACAAAACGCAGCCTCAGATAGAACAAAACTATCAAATTTTGGCACACTTTTTGAAGACTGGCGTGCTTTGCAACAGTTCGAGTTTTGTTTTTCAGGTCCCGCTCCGAAGCGGTCACATCGAAAATCGAAAGGTTTCGACGTGTTTTGAAACTCGAGTCTATACAGTGGAACGGACAATATCTAGACACGGTACATACTCGTATACACTCTTACTTCTTTCCAAGGTCATCGACCAGCCACAACTGGGAATAAAAAATATTTGTTTAACATGTTTGTTGGTTATGGAAGAAAAATTGTGCGTTGACTTCCTCGCGAGAACCAGTGGGAAAAGACCGAAAACAAAATGTGTAACAAAGTGTATTTCTGTTTTGTTTTTGTCTTTCTGGTTCGAGAAAACACAAGTACAACATAAACTCAACTGTCTGTTTAGTAAGAAACCTTCATTAAAATGTCTTGTTTTCAACAGCATAATAAGAAGATACACAAAAATATGGAATTATTAAAATATACAAAATTAAAAAATAGCAAAAATCATTGTACTATGTGTGATAGCTTCAAAGCACTGATAACGTGATACGTTTTTTCAGT